TGGGAAGATTCTGGAAAAGATAATCAAATAACGAATCAGCGAACACCTACAGGCAAACAAAGTCATTATTAAAAGCCAACATGGGTTTGTCAAAAACAGATCATGCCAGACAAACCTTATTGCATTCTTTGACCAAGTAACAAAATTAGTGGATCAGAAGAATGCTGTGGATATAATTTACTTGGACTTCAGTAAGGCATTTGATAAAGTAGATCACAACTTACTACTCGATAAGATAGAAAAATGTGGGTTAGACAGCATCACCACCAGATGGATTCGTAGCTGGCTGACCGGCCGTACTCAGCGTGTGGTCCTCAATGGAACTGCATCTACATGGAGGGAAGTGTGTAGTGGGGTGCCCCAGGGCTCTGTTCTAGGCCCAGTGCTCTTCAACATCTTCATCAATGATTTGGACGGGGATAGATGGGGAACTCATCAAATTTGCGGATGACACCAAGCTGGCAGGAATAGCCAACACTCCAGAAGACAGGCTTAAGATACAGGAGGACCTGGACAGACTTGAACACTGGGCGCTATCTAACAAAATGAAATTCAATGGTGAAAAAAGTAAGGTTCTACATTTAGGCAAGAAAAACCAAATGTACAGGTATAGTATAGGGGGTACCTTGTTCAATAGTAGTAACTGTGAGAGGGATCTCGGAGTCCTAGTGGACAATCACTTAAATATGAGCCAGCAATGTGCTGCAGCTGCCAAAAAAGCCAACACAGTGCTGGGCTGCATTAACAGAGGGATAGAATCAAGATCACGTGAAGTATTAATACCACTTTACAATGCCTTAGCAAGGCCACACTTGGAACACTGCATCCAGTTTTGGTCACTACGATGTAAAAAAGATGCTGAGACTCTAGAACAGTGGTTCTCAACCTTTTTAATGCCGCGACCCCAACCGGTCATAAGTCGAGGACTACTCAACTGGTGCAGCACCGTTTGCAGAATGGGACTTTTGGCGGGCTCAGCAGGGCAGAGACAGCCTGGACAATTCCTATTGGCTTTGGAAAGCCAATAGAATTAGAATCTATTCAAGAGAGTCTATTCTATTGGCTTTCAAAAGCCAATAGAATAAAAGGGAGTAGCACAGCTAAGGAAAAGGGGAAAAAAATGGCGGACTGCATTGTTTGGTGACCCCCGTGAAATGGTTGTTCGACCCCAAATGGGGTCCCGACCCACAGGTTGAGAACCACTGCTCTAGAAAGAGTACAGAGAAGAGCAACAAAGATGATTGGGGGACTGGAGGCTAAAACTTACAAGGAACGGTTGCTGGAATTGGGTATGTCTAGTTTAACTAAGAGAAGGATGAGGGGGGACATGATAGCAGTGTTCCAATATCTCAGGGGCTGCCCCAAAGAAGAGGAAGTCAAGCTATTCTCCAAGGCACCTGAAGGCAGGACAAGAAGCAACGGATGGAAACTAATCAAGTAGAGAAGCAACTTAGAACTAAGGAGAAACTTCCTGACAGTTAGAATAATTAACCAATGAAACAACCTGCCTCCAGAAGCGGTGGATGCTCCAACACTGGAAGTTTTTAAGAAGAGACTGGACAGTCATTTGTCCGAAATGGTGTAGGGTTCCTGCCTGAGCAGGGGGTTGGACTCGATGACCTCCAAGGTCCCTTCCAACTTTATTATTATTATTATTTCCTAAAACTTTTCCCTGACTTATTATCCAATCCCTAACCTTGCACAAAGTTCTTTTCCTCACTTTCAAAACTTTTGACTTTCTCTCAGCTCTTCTTTTCCAACACTTATCCATCTCTACTATTCTCTTGTCCAGTCCCAATAATGAAACACCACTGACCTTTATCACATGGCTGCAATTTGATAAAGAAAAGAGGTTAAGAACCTCCTCAAATCTCATTATTTTGGGAAGGGTTTGGATCATTTCCTAGTCCTAGCTAATACAGATAACCCTCATTTAACAATCACTTGAACTTTGAACCATGTTCAAAGTTACAACAGCACTGAACAAGGAAACTTACAACTAGTCCTCATAGTTATGGCTGTCGCATGTTCCCACTATCATGTAATCACTGTTTGCGACCTTCACCACCAACTTCTGACAAGCAAAGTTAATGGGGAAGCCAGCAGATGGTCGCAAATGGTGATCTTGTGATGTGACACCTAATGATCATGTTGGATTCAGTTAATGACAGCAACTAAGCACTACTGCAACTGCTGTCATAAGTCAGTGCAGTCATGTGATCTTGTACTTTATGATCGCATCCCTCAGTGATGGGAGTTGCCCGTCCTAATTAATGTCATTAAGCAAAAACTATCTGTACTTTACTGTAACTAAGCAAAAGCCCATGGAACTGAAATCAACACGTGCTTTTCAGTCTTAAGTCTTACTTTTTCCCCCCTAAGCATTCTTCTCTCTTGTTTGCCTATCTAATTTACAACAATCCTTTAGAAAATAGTATTATCATACATGATTGTAGGATTCCACAACATCCCACAAACAATAAATAAAACTCTGCCAACAGAAGCAGAGTTAGACATGAGAAGTCTTTTCCAGCCAAAGTGCAGATTTTTTTCCTGCAGGAAATATGCTCAAAGCCAGATATAATCAGCAGGTATACATGGAGTTCTTTCATAATCATTCTTTCCTCCTTCTGACGTTTTGCATCCCCTTTCCTCCCTAGCGAAACTTTGCTTCACTACTCAACATTTAGCCTTAAGAAAGTATCCATTCAGAACAACTGTACTGCAGGAACAGAAGTGTCATAGCATATGAAGGGAGTGGGTGGGAGATTGGCTCTTCCTTACCTAGGTATAACCATGCCTCTCCCCCCCCCCCCCAAATAAATCACAAGCACATTTGAAAAGCTGCAATCTTTTAAAGTGTCACTGCTATGCCGAAGGCATCGTAAGCTGGGGCTGAAAGAGGAAGTCTGACTGAGTACATCCAGATTATTGATCAAATGTTTCTTATCTCAAAAGGACAAAGGTATATTGCAGATAAGGATACAGAGGAAAGTCACAGAAGATAAAGGAACACACATGATATGACATGCAGACAGGAGACCTTTAAGGATTTACAAAAAGGCACTGCATTATAAGAATTATAAAAGTATAGAGAGTGATTAGGGCAGAAGCAATGCAAACCTGAAGTTACAAGATTATTAATCAAGGTTTCTGTCTGCAGATGACAATGAACTTGATTTCACTATTCTATCCACGGAAAACTTGCATGATTGTGAACAAGTGAGAGTAGAATTTCTGAGTTAAGAATTCTAGCCAATCAAGTAAATACAAGTACGGATAGATTAAAAAATAAAAGATTCAATTTGAGGACAGCTAAGGAGGAAAACGAAGATGTTAAATTTTGCCTGAACTGTGAAATGGGTGGCAAATTAATTTGATGAATAAAATAAAAAGTTTTGGAGATATACTCAGTTTGAGAAAGAAATATCAGATCAACCGAGTTGGATGGACAGAACAAGAACTTAGTAGATTTCAGTTATATCTTATAGGTTGCTTGTCTATAAAAAAAGCTTTTTCTCATAAAGAGTAAAATAACTCAAACTTCATTGGGATGATTGTAACCATAATAAACCCAGGCTTGTACTTCATAAATATTACTCTTTTTAAATAATGCATAATAATGACAACATCTTATTAATGTCATGTAAAAATCCTTCAGCAAGTCAATGTCTCCTCTTTGCATATTAATCATGCTTAAAGCAATACAATTATCAAGATAATGGACCAATTGACATTCATTTGCTCCTTAAACCTGCAAACATGGCCAGACCTTTTCATCCCACCTCTTCAGGACTGCAGGAGAGCAGACACAAAAGTTTTGTTTCAAGTTTGCAATACCCACCAGGGAGTAGAATATAATATTCTCTAAAGCAGGGGTGTCAAACTCACAATGTCATGTGACGTGTCGCATCGTATCGTGACTTTTTTGCCATTGCACAATGGGGTAGGCACGGTTTCGCTATGATGCAGCCGGCAGTTTGACACCCCTGTTCTAAAGGCTTAGTGTCTTCAAGCAACAACTCCATTGCCAATATTCCTATTTCCTGATTTATAAGGCAGTCAACCAGGAGGCATTCCCAACTAAATGGGCTTTCTATTTTGGAGAAAAGAAAAGACCTAATGGTACAGAGGTTTTCCATTGCTAGTATATACATGGCAACAGATTTATTCCACAAACATCAATTAGATAACCAGTAGTTGTTCATCCATCGATTTCGATGAAGACCTTGACATCTTGTGGGTTATGGGCCATCAACGATGTGTCCGTAGGTGGCTAATAAGACCGATGTTAGCACAGAATGTTTTGCCACATACTGAACAAAGTATGTCTACCTATCTATGTCTACATAGATAACCAACAACAGGTATTGAATACCAAAATGGTTTTCAGCTAACAAAATAATAAAATATATATGGATTGCTTTTCCTCAGCAAAAGTTAAACGCTACTAACAGTTCCAGCTCAGAGGAAATAATGGAAGTCTGAACTTGCCCAAGTATTTGACTCTATCTCATCCCACTACTAGGTCTCTGGCTCAGGTTAAAAGGTTACCTTCATCTCAAGTTGACTACCAAATTAAGTAAGCTGCATTAGGGACCAAAATGAAAAGGAACCAATGAGGTTAAAGGTGAAAACGTGGCAACAATGGGGCAGACAAAAAAAAAATCAAAATGATCGCCTTACTTCTAATACGCCAATAATTGGATCCCATTTTCAATAGGGTATTGGACATTTGGATTTTTAAATCCTGGCTGCAAGCAGCCTAATACCGGTATCAGTTGTCAAGTGTTAAATGTGAGTGACCATGTTAATGATCAAATCTACAATACTGAAACCTAACACTGGATCTGAAATACTGTAACTAACACAAGTGTAAATATTTGACCTGAGGTTATATGTGTCTTAAAAAACCGAGGGAAGAAGATTCATTTCAGCTTGAGTGCTGCCTGCTCTCCAAGCTCTCTAAGGTGTAGATCCCACGAGCAGGCAGGACTTACCCACAGCCCGGAACAAGCAGGCCCCATCTTCCTTCATCTGTTTTATGATGAACCCTTTCTTCTCTCTCAGCGCCTTCTCGAACCTGTGTTCCTGCTGGTGACAGGAGGTGCAGATGTCAGCAAGTTAGACAGCATCCCCATCCCACAAACGAGGGAGGGCAACATAACCAACTTTCTCTCCTGTTCTACCCATGATTACTTATAAAAAGAGGGACCAGGTGGAAAAGCCACGTTGGAGAAGAAAGATTATCCACGTGCATGAAGTAACTCCGATGCCCACTAGAGGCCGCCCACACCAAGCAATTAACCCTGGGTTAATGCCCCCAGTTAATTCCAAATTGTGCTGTAACCAAAAATAGTATTATATAGGATTGGCACTGATCGAAACATGCACCATTTTATTTATATATCTGTTTTATACTCTGCCTTACTTCTAAGTATGTAAGGCAGCTGACAACATTTTAAAATTGAAACAGAGTGCAAAAACATAAATTAACCGTAACATTTGTATTGCATGCAATTAATTAAAAACGTGATCAGAAATGTCTTCAGGGATTTATTTTATTTTTAATCCAAGAGAGTACGGGGCAAGCACAACTCCTAAGGAAGTGCTCCTTTTTCTGGGAGCAATAGAGGAAAAGGCTTTTTCCTATGTGGCGGAAAGATGGACTGTCAACAGGATGGGATTCTTCCTACAAATCTTGATAGATTGTCAGGTTTGTGGGAGTAATCCCTTCACTGATCCTAAGCCAGTTAAGGCTTTATAGTCAGCCCAGCTTCTTAGACTGAACCCAGTAAGCACAATTCCCATATTCAAAAGTCAAATTAAAGCTCTTCAACTTCCATGATTGTTGTACAGAGAATGCCAGAGGTAATGAAACAGAAAGATAACAGCTAAGGAGCTCATACAAGGACAAGGCACCTCTCCAGAGGATTCATGATTACAAGCTCATTTTGGTACAACACCCATGTTTTTTGCAAATACCCAGAGCTTTAAGAACAGCACTTAATGTTATGCCTGGTTGTACAATTCTGTTTTCTGCATTCTCCTACCCATATATATATATCCAATTCTGCCACCTGTAGGAGGATTAGCAATTTGCTTTTTTCAAAAGAAAAAAAAAAGAAATAAAAGCACCATCTTCACATTCTAATTAACTAATCCTTTCCTCTCTCCTAGAGATAAACACATTTTGAAGTAAATTCCACAGTTTTATATCATAACATTGCTTCAAGAATACAGGTAAGGCAGCGGTGTCAAACTGCCGGCCCGCGGGCCAGTTTCATCATACTGGAGCCGTGCCCACCCCATTGCTGGCAATGGCAAAATAGTCCCTATACGTCTCGCAACGTCACGTGATGTCTCGAGTTTGACATGTCTGAGGTAAAGTTTCAATTAATGTGAGTTTGAATAGTGCAATACTTGATTTATGGCAAATTATGAAGTGATAGCAACTTGTGTTTAATGTACCTGCAGAATACAGGAGACAGCAAATATACTTTGCATATAAGTTTATCCTCTCTTATAGTGTTTTATTAACATATAAATATTTATGTTTCATTCTGGAGCCAATTACCCTATTTTTCATAGAAATATCACTTTGAATATTGTACATTTGAATAATGCAACCATTCTGTGGGATTCATTAACTGTACTAATTGAGATCTATGTATATTGAATAGGTACATTACTTTGTTCAAGAAATGATCACTTAATGACCCACTGCATACAGTCTTCCAGTAATCTAGTAAAGATTTTAGTCATTAAAAACTGACACCAACATGACGGCACCCAATTAATTTTTTTAAAAATATATTAATGGTAATTCAAAAGAATGCTACTTCAAATGTATTGAGCCTTTTGTCTTTGAGTCAAATAGTTTCACTGCCATCTACTGGCAACAGTGAGAACTAGATTTTTAAGTAATCAAGATTTTCTATTGCCTTTGTTAGCAATTCCACTTTTTCACTATTCCCTATCAGCCCCAGTAATTCTGAATTTGAACAGATTAGGGAAAGAGAATATTTGTAGAGTCAGGGCACTAGATTAGAGACATAAGGAAGACTAGGTGATAGTTCCTCTAGAAACCTCTACTGCTGTTCCTTTTCCCTTTAGTTCTGGCTTTACTCCATAATCTTGTAAATATATTCAGTCATGGAACAATTGTCTGAAAACCAAAAAGCCGTCTCTAGTCCAACAGAATGTTTTTTGCTACAAGAATTATAAGAAGAGCATAAAGCAGATGACTAATTAATGAATCCTGTATTAACAAGGAATACTGAAAATTCAAAACAACAAATTAGTGGTTACTTAAAAGCTTAATATCTGAAGGTAGATTGAAAACAATTTTTTTTCAAATTCGTACTTGTTTTGTTACTAGAGGTTTAGGCCTACTCCAACTGTGTTCCTTGGAGACAAAGATCAACAATAAACAAAAAGGGATATACCCCCAGACAGAAAAGAAACTGTGGATGCTTCAAGTCCTATGTTTGGGTGCAAAACTTCCTTCTTTGGCTACTTTTCAAACTGCATTCTCACCATCAATTAATACTTATCAAAGATAATACAGAGCTGGCTTCTCCAATTAGTGTCCTTGAGGGGTTTGTGTGACTCTATCCCATTTACCAGCATGGCAAAATGAGAGTGCTTAGTGACTGAAGATGGGAGCTATTGCCCGACCTCGCCTCACAGAAGGGAGTGAAGGAGCCATGTGCAAAATGAACCTTAAGCTGTGACAAACTGACAGAGCCCATTTCATAACTGCCACGCTTGTCTTGCAGGATAAGATGGAAAGGGAATTGGATACTAAAAGATGCAGCTTAGCAGGCTGCACACTGCATGTGGATTATATATTGCGTGGCTCTCCTGCCAATTTAGCAGTCAAGTCTTTATCACTGAAAGGGAAAAAACGGGGGGCGGGGGGAACCCAATATGTTTTTCATTATCCTGTGAAGATTCCTTAGGCTTCTATGCAGGAAGATCTCTAATGAATTCTACTACAGGTAGTCCTTGGCTTACAACAGTTCGTTTAGTGACCATTCAAAGTTAAGACCGCACTGACATGACTATTTTTCACACTTACGATCATTGCAGCATCCCCATGGTCATGTGATTTACATTTGGATGCTTGACAACTGGTTCATATTTATGATGGTTGCCGTATCCTGGGGTCATGTGATCACCTTTTGACCTTCTGTCAAGCAAAGTCAAATGGAGAAGCCAGATTCACTTAACAACCTCATTATTAACAACTGCAATGATTCATTTAACGAATGTGGCACGGAAAATCATAAAATGGGACAAAACTCATTTAACAAATTTCTCATAAATTTGGGGCTCAATTGTGGCCGTACGTTGAGGACCACCTGTCTTACCAGGTACCAACCTAATGTGATCATTTAGACTTAACAGGCTTTAAAAGAATGTATACTTTTCACTGGATACAGCAGGAACATTATGATGCTTATGTTCATTAGAAACTTTTCTAGGCAATCTGGCACATTAGGATGCAGAGCATATAAATATAAAAAGAAAATGCACTGTAATTATTGTAAGAAATGGGTACATACTGCAGCCTGATTATATCACATATAGGATGACTCTAATTCCCAGATTGCTCAGCAATAGCTGGACGAGCAAGTGAGTTATGATTGTTGCAATCCAGACACTTACAAGGTTGACTCGGGCTATAGAAACTTGAAGATACGTCAACAACATATCCAGACTTGCTATTCCACAAAATTCACCATTCTGCAGATACACTATTCCCTACAGAGCAGTAGAAAAGACATGGAGTATTCTGCTTCTCATGTAACAACTTGGCTATATTTCTGTGCTATGCATAAAAAAGAAAATTACATTATCTTTCACCTTCCTGCCTACTTAACATCTGCAGGAAATTCCATTTTATTTAGCAGATAATGCCAAAATATATAAAGGTTATATTACAGTGGTGGCGAACCTATGGCACGCGTGCCAGAGGCAGCACTCAGAGCCCTCTCTGTGGGCACATGCACCATGCCCTGGAGATGGCAACTGTCCCTCTTCAACCAGCTGCCCACTAACTTGCCGAGGTCCCACATGGCCGGATGTATCCCAGCACCCATGTGCTCACTGGCCTCTGTGTGCAGGGGCCGATGGTGTCAGGCAGCAGCCAACCCAGCCCGTCTCACCTTGCCTGGGACAATGGCACCCCCGCCCTGCCTCGCCTTGCCTCGCCTCACCCTGCAGGATGAGCCTCCTGCCCACCACCCCACCTCCCAGAGACCCCCTGGATCTCCCCCAACCCTGCCCGGCCCCCATAGGCGTCCCTCCCCACGATCAACATTGAGTTGATCATGCCCACCTTGGCCACACCCACCTAACCTGCCATGACTACCACAGCCACGCCCACTCAGCGGGCCACGTCCACCTGGCACCCAGCGATAAATAAGTGGGTTTTGGGTTGCAGTTTGGGCACTCGGTCTCTAAAAGGTTCGCCATCACTGTTATATAACTCCGCTTTGGGATATGTAAAAAGAAAGATAAACCTTTGGTGTCTTGAAATGAACATGCACCAAGAGAAAGAAGGCCTTACTTTATATAGTTCCTGACTTTGTAGGGAAGATTACTTTACTTCAAGTTTCATCACACATGGTGCACTTCTGTTCTCCATTCCAACTCAACATGAACAAGCCATCACTAATTTATAGGACAAGGAAACAGTAATTCTCAACCTGTCAACTATGCAAGTGTAACATTCTTCTTCATATTCTTTCTATTCAACAAAAAAGCCACATATGTATCACTTCAATTATTAAAAATCATTTATCATTTTTCTATCTTCCTTGTCCTTCATCTACCAATTCACTTTCAAACTGAGGTTAGGAAATAAATGTACAAATATACTGGGATATGAAATTAGAGGGGGTGCCACGAAACCAGCTGAGATCATGACTACAACCAATATGGTTATACACATCAAAATTGGGAGGGACCTTCAATCATTTCTAAGAGGTATGTAATATCCCTATCACAATCATCTTGAAAAAATGCATGCACACATGCACGCACCACACACACACATACACAGTATAATTTGCCTGGCCACTTTG